TTTGACACCAAACTAGTGTGGCAGCTTGGGTGTCCAGGCATTTGTTGCTGCCTCCCATCCAACCCTCTACAGCTGCCCCTGGGTAAAATGATCTATTCTTCACCTGAAAAAAGATTAAATTCTAAAATTAGAAACATAATGTTTCCTATCTCATGATGCCACTGGGGGTTGCAAGACTGAGGCGTCATGAGAAGATAGGAAATTATTTTAAAGTTACATTTAATTAACATTTTCTAGTTAGCAAATGAATCAATTAATTTTATATTTGAAATATTTAAATCTGCAATAGGTAACTTTTATACAAATAACTTTTTGTTTTATGTTTTATGGGCTTTTGTCATATTTGCTGAAACTTTCAGTAAATCCTGACAGTAGTACATGAGACAGATAATCTGTGAAAACATTCAGTTCCTCTGGCTCCTCCTAGTGCTACTATTGTGGGCTTTGCAAATGGTATTTGCAAAAATATACTGCGCCTAAACAAAAAGAACCAATCAGAGCCAAGAAAGATAGTTAAGACTTAACAATCAACCATCTTCAAGCCATAAACTCAAAGTGTTATATTTGATGCCCTACAGATTATCTGTCTCATACACTACTGTCAGGATATAGTGAAAGTTATAGTCAGAAAAGTTATTTGTTTATAACTGCAGCTTTAATGATTTGCTTTGGTAAGAAATGTGTGTGGGGCCTCCACCGTCTGTTTGGGAGAATTTAAGTAGTTGGGGAATGGGGTTTGTACATTTGGGTCTGAGGGTGGCATTAGAGGAATGGTTTACCTTTATTTAAAATATGGAAGCAGATAAAACCCTTAATGCAATTGTTTGTCTTATTTATTTATGATTTTAATGGAATTATTTGTCCTTTGTTTAATGGGTGAGGTGGGGGTTGATAAAAATGTCCCTATGTGCTCTTTGTTGGTGATATGCAAATCTTTGCTTCAAGTTCACAAAAGAATCTTTACTTAAGATCCACTTACAAACTTTTTCTGGAGCTTTCAGCTACTGTCTTCCCTGGTGGGAGGAGTTTGTTGATGTATGACCTTATCTCAGAATATTTGTTTTCCTATTACAATTAATCTGATTTAGGTCTAATCCCTCTTCCGTCACATTGCACTTGAAATGAACTCTTCTAGATACCCTCACAAACATATAAACTTGAGATGTGCAGTGTATCACAGAGCATCTGGTGGAGCCGGCTGTATTGTGCAGCAGAGAGGAGAGTAAAGTAGTGCAGATTTAGTCATGTATTCCATAATGGTTAAATGTTATGGCTCGGGCTTTATCGTCCATGGAAAACCCTCACATCACTCCAAACACGGCTCTCTTACTTCCTGCAGTCCGGGAGGAGATTTACTGCCGCAGTCAGCATACGCTCTCGCCACAGATCAAATTAGGGGAAGCAAAAACACCCGGCTCCACTGAGCTATTACTGTAACTAGTCAATCATCATTCAATGATAAATAATTAGTTAAACTCTCCAAAAATATATAGGCAGCATTTATTCAGGCTGAGAGCTGATGTCTCTATGCAGATCTGAGAATGTAGAATGTATTTATTCCTTTATTTTTTACATGAAGCGTCACTATCTGTTCTTTGAACTTCATTAACAAGACCGAGGGAATTATCAGACAGAGGAGAGGGGGCTGTGCTGGCGAAAATTGGCCGCTGTGAAAAAAAATGAAGCAAATGTAGCTCCTATTTACATATAAAGAGCTCTATTAATCAAGGTAAGTGTCATTACAGCGTGGCTCATTGAGCAGTGGAGAGTGGGTGTTAAATAAAATTCTCTGTGCTCGGGTGCCTCCGGCAGGCGATATGTCTTGATTTGAGAACTGTCAGCAGTGGTGGGAGCTGATAGAGGCTGGAGGAGGAGGAGGAGGGGGAGGATGGGGAGTATTACCCCGGTTCTTAATCAGATTGCTGTGGGCGAGGGGATGGAGGAAAAGAAAAATGGAGGAAGAGGGGGATGGAGAGGAAAAGAGGAAGTGGTGTGGAGATAGAGTGGCAAAGAGGAATGTGTTTCCCAAATGCCAAGTTTATGCAGACAGATTTCAGTCCCCTCAGAAAGATTTATTTATATTATTCTATTTATTAATATTTTCTGTCCAAAGTCAAAGTTGCTCACAGCTGACTGTAAACTCGTTTCACAGAGAAGGTAGCATAATCTTACCTCTATTCTAAATTGCTAAAATCGCACATTTATTTTCTCACTGCTCTGAACATTGTTTATAGCACTATGGTGATGCTATAACGCTAGAGTGGTACTTTAGTGAGTGTCTTATCTCAGACAGAGACCTAAAGGTCCAGTGTGTAACATTGAGAGTAGACTCACAAGCCAGTTTCTTAAATTCTTCACTTGGTAGATACTTCCTCTCAGCTTTTGTGGGTGGAAACAATTAGAGTCCAGTTCAGTCCAAAGATTACTTGCAATGCCCTGGTCTGCAACATTCTGAAACCCTGCCAGTTCAATGCAACTAGACTAGACAGTGTATTGTCTCCATAGTAACAACTCTTTTCAGGCTTTTTTTTGTAGTCAGATATAATTTGTAGTTTCCTAAAATATGAAATGAGATTAGTGGTAGTGAGTTACTTGCTACAGTTGCAATTTATTGATAAAATGATGCAAACTCTGAGCTGCACATAACGCCATCAGCCGGCTTGAGTTGAGCTCAGACAACCAGTTCCCACTGCCGGAACTTTTCCCTGCAATGTTCTAACACTGTTTTGTTTCGTCTTTGGTCTGGAATGGACCCAATCTAAAGTCTTTAGGGCGGTGACATGCGGACATGCGGAAGTTGTGTGCTTGTGAATACTGTCGTACTATGTAACGTTGCTCGGGACATAAAAGGTTATTCAGTTTGTTTCACTACGGAGAAGAATGGGGGGAGAGCATCACCTCAGGTAAGGCTTGTCCTTGAAGTAATGTTTATTAGCTGCCGCCATTTAAGCAACTATTTTGTATTTAGAAATCCCTAGATGATTGGTAGGCGCTGAGATCACCAATCGTCTGGTATCGCATACTACGTTTAGGTGGGATCAATTGTCAGAAATCGGATATAATATTCATAGGTAAGTTTTCATTAGTGTATAATCACCTGGATATAGGAATCACTGGGTTTTTGTTACCTTAGAATGAGCCGTTTTTACCTACAGAGGGAGCAGGTCCTCTTTTACAGAGGCCACCGTGTTGAATCCTAAACACTGGATACTTACAGTTTATTACTAATTGTATTACTTTTATTAGTTTTGTCCACCATTTATATCAGTTGCAATAAAACTGTAGCAGCACCATAGCAATGGTTTAAGAACGCTAGAGAGGTCCTCAAATTCCACCCCCTCCCCCAAAGTAAATTCCACTGAGATACTAAAAAAAGACTAAATGCACAAAACAGATCGTGAATGTTCTGCTGCTGTTTCAAATGTTACAAAGCAGCATGCTCACCGGCTATGTTGCCTTGAAATCAAAACAGAAAGACAAAAGGAAACAATGATATTTTGAAAAAAACATTTCCGTGAATCGGTTCTTACACTAACATGAAAATCAGTCCAGCAAACATCTAGGTCGCAAAGTCATGTTTCCAATCTAACAAGATTGGTGAGGAAGGGGAAGAGTGGAGTGGGAGTGAAAGCAAGGAAGGAAAAAAGAAATTGGTTCTTTGCTATGAAGAGAGACAAAGACTGCACTACTTACTTCACCCTGTTCTTCAGGCTCGCCTCAGTGGAGTGGATTTACATGTAGTGCCACTGCCCATCCATGCCCATATTCATACCCATGCCACCCATTGGCCCTGAAATGAGGAGTAAAACAAGACCAACAGGATGACAGAATGCTCAGAACATGGTAGCACTCTGGTTTCAAAGAGACCAATATTCTGTACAGCTGCTGGCCAGCGGAAGTATCTGTAAATAATGTACGTTCTATAGAGGCAACAGGCATGATGTATGATGGTGTCTGTGAAAGCATAAAAATCCTATTAGCCTGCATAAAACATGCTATATCATCAAAGATTCTTGCAACTTTGAAAGTGTGGCACAAAGTCTGGTACAAAGTCTTTGTAGGTCATTCAGTAGCAACCTCTCTTGAATGAAAATAAATAACTTGATCACATGTGTACTCATTTGTATAGCATATTTAATGTGCAGTTTCACTGATAAATTTAAGTCAGTTGCTCTACATGAAACACTGTAGCTGTTGTCTGTTTTGTCTTTGATCTTCAGTCCACTTTTCTCAAAGACTACTGAGCAAAAACCCATCAGCCAAAGCATAACTCAGAGTGATTGCATACAGAGGGATGACTGTTGCCATGCACTTACTGCACAGAACATGGTTAGTCTGCAATTGCTACCTGATGATTAGTTGGGCTGTCAAGCTAGGCTAACTGGTTTATGGCTAGTTTACACTCTGCCTAACATTAGATTTTTTCTTTTCTGCCTTTTGTTTAAATCAGTAATTACTCAGGTTTTCTGTCTTGCTTACAAAAGATGAACTCGGCCAATGTGGTTATTTCTGCCTCCAGAGAAATCTTCTAAATATTGTGCTTCTTCTTTAAAAACAATTGTTCTATGTCTTGAACAAATGAACCAACTTGTTGCCAAGACTGGTGGTATAGGATTATTTCCACAAAACTCTGGAATAATTAAAATTATATAGCTTTTTTTATACATCCATATCTTTGCTCTCACAGCTACGGTATGGTTAAGGTTCTGCAAAGGTATTAATGGATGGTCTATAACAGGAGGCAAACTTTTGCCCTTGATGGTTTGATGCTTTGATAAATGTATGGGAGATTGCTCACCTCCAGGTCGGAGACCCATGTGCTGCTGCCCGTCAAGAACGAAGCCTCCCATTGGCTGGCCATCTGGACTGTAAGCTGTACCCTGACTTACTGTGACAGTTGAAAAGACATGAGACTATCAGAGTGAGCTACTATCAGACCCAGACATGCTGCACCCAAACACATTCTAATTCTGCACCTCCTTCATGCAATCCATTCTCCAAAGGTCTACGGAGGACACATAATCTGTCTCACTTTTAATACTGTCTTTAACTCGTCTCCTCCACCCTGTAGCGGCAGTGGATTTGACAAGTAATATCAGTAAGACATCACAGTTTGTATTTGGATTCACCTGATCCATCTATTGATGAAGGATTTAGTACACTGAACACTGAACGAACTGTAGCTTTACCTGCTCTGTTTGACTGGTCAATCATTGGTTGCACTATCCGCCTCCTTGCATTGATAAACCTGGAGAAGAAGAACAAATTGTGAACTCTCTTATGAGCAAAAAGGGTCACTCAAGTGTCACTTTCTTGTTTTTCCAGGCTTTTGAGTATTTTGTTTTGAGCATCCCACAGGATTTTTCAGTGAATGGACTACAGGTGTCATCCTGTGACCTAAGTATGGAACCTATTACATTCAAATTACATTTATCAAAGAAGGCCATGAGAAATGATCAAAAGCTCTGGCCTATATCTCAGCATTGCTTTCAAGTGTTATTTTTAAAGTTTAGATTTAAACTTAGATCTAAACTTTGAAGACCTGAACACAAGCTATATTCACTAAGCCTCAACTTTCTACTAAAAAGCCTTGTCCTGCATTATAAGTTAAAACATCCAGAGCTAATAGAACAATGAGAAGAAAACATAGGATTTGGCAAAAAGGAAGCCTAGTAATTGTAATCAAATAATTATATATATAATCATAATATATATAAGAATATACATAATAAACTCAGAGAATTGTATAAAAGGAAATAATAACTGCTCAAAATTGATCCAAATCTCTGGTTTTACACAAACTTCCTGCAGTTATTGTGTTCACTGTTTGTGTTCTTTGTACAGCGTATCTGTTGTTCTTTACTTGTTGTTATACATTGAATATAATATGAAATATTGATAACGGTTGGGAACCACTGATCTACATCATTACTAAAAATAGTAAAAGTCGTGCTCTGCCCTATCCCTCACCAGTCTCATTGTAATTATTTAAAAGGAATGATATATTCAGTATTTATAAAAACTGTCAATTTCATTCGACAGCTTTTGAAGAACTGCAGTCCTACTGTGTCTCACCAGGGATTTGACTAATAATCTAGTTTATTCCGATTGACATAATCTGGGGCATTAGGAGAAAGTCACATATCTTAAAAAATGTATTGATTTGGGTTTAGCCGTGTAGCCTCAGGCTGTGATGAGGCTAACTGCTTTGCCAATGTTTTGCCATTGATACATCCAGCAAACAGACAGCAGGGTGAGTTTGCATGCTTTGATATTTGTATTGGCTAAAGCCTTGACTAGTCGTCTTTACTCCTGGATTAGAGGTGGTGCTGTGTGCTGTGTAATTAGGTCTGTTAGAAACCGGATACACTTAAACTCTTTGGTATGTTTCAGAGGATTAGAAGCAATGTCATCTCAGTTAATCCGAATTTGAACCTTGTGTGGGCTGCCGGTAAACTGAAGACGTGTTGAGTGACAGTTGTGTGACTTTCTACATAGCAATAATTTATTTGAGGATTTTCAGTCAGGATTTAGAGTTCATCACAGCACAGAGACAGCTCTGGTTAAAGTTAGTAATGACCTTTTGATTGCCTCT